GGCGCTCAAGCTGACGCCGGCGCGCGCAGCCCCCGCGGCCAGGCCCCGCCCCCCGGTGCTCTGGAAACCCAGCCCGGATAGCCTGGGGCTAGCGCTTTGGTTCCGAGGGCGTTCCCGACCCGACTGCTTTTGCCAGGGCACCGCTCGGTAACTGAGAGTCCTTCCTGCAGCCTGAGTCCTCGGTTTCTGCTCGCTGGTGCTGACAAATGACAAACAAAAGCGATGCTCACGTCGGGGTGCCCCGGGGCACCTCGCGGGGTGCCCGGGAGCCAGTGGCCGGACCCCAGAGTCACCCAGTGTTAGACTGCGACCTACGTGGTTATCTACAAAGTGAGGTTTCAAACACTCTTGTCATATTGGGTAGGTTAAAAGCATGAATTTGTTTTATGTAAATCTTTACTATACCACAGTTCCTGTAACCTTGCTTGGCGTTTCTCTTTTTCTTCTCTCATTAAAAACCTGAAGAGAATGGCTTCGTCCACTTAACGCTCTCAGACGTCCGTACTCGGGCCGTGCAGGAGTCGTTTTAAATTCAGCTGCATAATAAAGCACGATTAACTTACGTCTCTAAATGTCTGGAGACAGCCAGAGTCCAAGTGACTGTGCAGTCAGGCTGGCGTCCGTGAGTCGGGGGGACCCGTGGTGCGTTTCTCGCCCCGCGTTAGCCTCGCCGGCCCGCTGCGGTGACACGGGGGTGGTCGTGCCCGGGCGCGGGAGCCGGGGCTCGGGCCTGACGTCTGGGCGCCGGGCCCGTCGTTCACTAGCTGCGCGATGCCCGCAAATGACTGGACTCAGGCCCCGTATCTGTATAACAAGGTTAACAGTTGTTCTTCCTCGAGACATTTCCTGTGGGGAGTAATATATGACAATGCCTTCAAAGAGCACCGAGAAAAGTGCCTGGGGCAAATGAATGCTCAGTGTCATCATTTTTATTTCTCTTATTCTTCTCAGCGTACTAGAAGATTCGTTGTTAGTCACCAGTCGTTTCCCTTTGCTTCGCTGAATATGGATTTGAACTTTGTTTTCATCACTGAGCTGGACCATTTCATACTCTGAGCTCCTGGGAAGTACGGATGGGAGTGAGGGGCATACAGACAGATACAGGCATCAGTTGTCCATTAGTTAAAGAGGTGATAACTTGTATAGTTTTCTTGCCTATACAGTATGGTTAACAGCATGAAAATTAAAGAGATAATATAAAAGGTACTGGTCATATAGTAAGTGCCAAAAAGTTATTAATATAAATACTAATATAAAAACCATTAAAAATAGAAGACAGCTATTTACAGAGAAGAGAGATAAAATCGAAAGTGGGAGTTAATGAGCAAGCATTTAATAGTCGGGACTAGCATTGTCCAGGCTGGGATGCCCTGGGTTTGTAGAACTTAAACATGACTAGAGAGAACACCAGGCACCCTGGGCTGTGAGAGGAACTACCTCCTGGCAGGCACTCCCTGTTGGAGTCAGCAGACTGACATCTGCCTGTTCTAAAATTTGTATCATATGAGTTCACATTTTCAAAATATGAGTGCATGAAGGAACCGTTGTTTAATCCAAGACTGTAAGCGTGATTTCAGTCAGAAATCAGATGGTGCCCTGTACAAATCAACAGGAGAATAATGCTGGAATTTTTTATTTTGTTGCTGCATCCTGTTCATTCTCGTCACTTTTAGAAAATGGTTAACCTCTAGTATTTGTATTTCATTCATGTTTATAAATTTACAACTTGGGCATAAAAAAACAAAAACAAATATAAGGTGATATTTTCAAATATGCCTTCCACTCGGCAATTTAAAACTAAATTGAGACATTTTTATATTGTTTGTTCACTCTGTTTTTTTAAATCCACTGCATGATTTGATGCTCTTTGTTTACTGATGCTCAGAAGATTTCAGCATAGGGCAGTTGTCAGGAATGTAGGACTATTGTAAAGTTCCTGTGTTACCTTCACATTATTTCCTGCTAGGGCAGGAATTAATTTTTTAGTTTATAGTTAGTTGATACTTTGGGCCCTAGGGAGGAAGTGGATGAAAGACCGATATGTTTCAGTGAGGTCTGGGGAGGAAGAGCTTGACTTCTACCAGAACTGAGTGGGCTCAGGCCAGGCCTGGCAGGCCTAGGGCCTTGGCCCGGGTGTCATAGGGGTAGGCACCCATGCTTAAGGCCAGCTTCATTAGCCTCAGCTGCTTGGCCTGGCTGACAGATCCCTATCAACTGGGTTTTCTAACCAGTTATAAATAAATTAGTTTCAGTTTGCCTCCACATACAAGGTTTGAAGCAGACCAATCTAATTTATGTTAGTATTGGGGGGAAATGGAGAGTAACACAAAATATTGAAAACCAAATTTATAGCACCAAAAATCTACGACCAGTATTTAAGGGACATCTGAGTGTGTGATGTATTAATCCAAACGATGTAAATATTAAGTTGCAAAATGTTAAAGCAAAATGTCCCTAAACAGCCTCCAGTAATTAAGGAATATAACTCATTTCTATATGTAGTATACTAAGCTGAATATGGATGACAGTATAGAAATGTAAAATCATTAGTTCTTTTTTACTGTTGGCGTGACTACTATCTTTCTCATCTTAGAGCCCTGTGCACACAAGTAATAACATGATGGGCTCCAGGTTAAGGTACCTTATTAGCTGTGTGACCTTGGGGAAGCTACTTAACCTCTCATACCTCAATGTTATCATCTGTAAAATACAGGCATTTCTCTTTTTATTGTGCTTCACGTTATTGGAATTCACAGGTGTGGTTTTTTACAAACTGAAGGCAAGACACTCCACCACCAAAAATATTACGACTCACTTTATTGTGATATTTGCTTTATTATAGTGGTCTGGCACTGAACCTGACATAGTTCCAAGGTATGTCTATGGTATAATAATAGTACCTACCTTATTAGAGTTGTTGAGAGGCTCAAATCAAATAATACAAGTAGAGCAGTTAGCACAGGGTTAGTACAGACTGCACTTTGAAAGTATGTTATCAGCAGCAAAATTACTTTTTGTGGTAAAGTTGGTGAAAATTCTAATTTAAAAATGTCGACAAAAGAAGCTCAGCCTAAGAAAAAGTCTTTGAAGAGTTTATTTGAGCCAAATTGACAACAATTGCCAGGAAGCAAAATCTCAGTGGATTGGGAAAATGCTCTGGAGAATGGCTGAGCATCTCTGAGATTGGATAAAAGGTAAAAAGGAGAGACACATACTTCTTTTATATTGGTAGGTACAGGGTACTTAATAATTAACATTTATATATAGAGGTGGTATGTGGGCAATAAGATAATAACAAGGGGTTCTTTGGTCTCGTGCTCTGGTAGGAGGTTGTACCCTGAGGGGTCTGGAAAAAGGGGATTACACTGACATTCCAAAGGTATGTTATCATAGATGCAAAAAGGCAAGCTTAGGATGTGACTACCCACATATAGTTAGGAGTTTTTGTATTCAGACCATCCTCTGTGGTTGCTTTCAGTCTCTGAGTTTGCAAGTCTCTTCATACTGGCCTTCCCTGAACTTGTCAGTTTTAGTAGGTGGCCCCGTCTTCATCCACAAAAAAGGAAAACACCATGTACCTCTGGGCACCTTAATTTTCACTGACATGGAATTTTTATAGTTTCCAATGTGGATAATATTGAAACATACTCATGGGCTATCATATACATTCGATGAGTTAGAAATCTTCAGGCAAAGAAGAATATATATTTTAATAGGTCCCATAAATACCAAATTTGGGGACATTGAAATTTGGGAAGCTCTGATCCAGAGAGAAGTTAAAACCAGTTTTCCACTAGATGGCGCCATTCAATATTTAAACTAACATTTATATCTGCTTGTACTTTTCTTTCCATGATTACAAAGATTTGCTTTCCTCTTGCCAATGCTTTCCTTAATTTTGTGACATCTATTTTAGGGGGGGAAAAGTCGCAAAAATTTTTTTGATAAGGCAATTATAATGAGTTTATTAAAATCAAGGGTCCAATACATAAATGGACAAAAAGTGTGAAAAAAATTATGAAAGAGAAAATGCAGTTTCTCAATAAATACATAAAAAATATTCATCCTTAATAGTAAGTAATGCAAATTTTAAACATCAAATAAGTTTCCATTTTTCATATGCATTATAAGGAATTGGGTTACACGATTATGGAGGCTAAGAAGTCCCGTGATGTACTGTCTGAAAGCTGGAGGATCTGTGGAGCAGATGGTGTAAATCCCAGTGCAAGGGCCCAAGAATACAGATGTCCCTCCTCAGTCAACCAGGTAAGAAGCAAAATGTTTGAATTCCTCCTTCCTCTCTGTCTTTGAGCTCTATTCAGGCCACCACCAGACTGCATTACGTCCATCCACATTGGAGAGGGCAATCGACTTACTGAATCCACTGATTCAAATGTTAGTCTCATCTGAAAACACCCTCGCCAGCACACTCAGAAATGATGTTTAATATGGACACCCCTTGGCCCAGTCAGATTGACACAAAAAATTACCCACCGCACTGTCCTAGAGGCACCATTATACAGTGTTAAAAATAAAAAGTCACCATAACAACACAGAAAATTATTATTATATATTATAAGTGAAAAAAAACAGCGCACACAATTTTATGTATTGTGAGTATAATTCATTTTTAAACCAAGAACCTAGGAATAGAAGCCAAAATGTTAGTTGTCTTTAAGTGGCTGGAATGTGTTGAATTGCTCTTTAACTGTTTCTCTCCTTAAAATTTTTCTTTAATGAAGTAGTTTTAAAATATAAATGTTACCAGTTAATACTTTCCCTGTTTAGAGCTGAGTTGGGAAGAACTCCCTGCCATTTTTTATTGATTTCCTTTATTCTAAATAGAAAGTTAATATTATGAGGAATGGCTTATCTGGATACTCCCTCTTTAATATACTTACAGTTTTAATAATCTCGTATTTTTGAAGTATTTCAAAATACATAAGAATAGAACATTTTATTTTATTTCAAAAAATATATCTTTATTGATTTCAGAGAGAGGAAGGGAGAGGGAGAGAGAGAGTTGAAACTTCAGTGATGATAGAGTCATTGATTGACTGCCTCCTGCACGCGCGCCCTCACCCCCCCGCCCCCTCCGCTGGGGATCGAGACTGCAACCTGGGTATGTGCCCTGACCGGGAATCTAACCGTGATCTCCTGGATCCTAGGTTGATGCTCAACTGCTGAGCCACGTCTGGCCGGGCTGTGTTGAAATTTTAAGCTAAAGATCAAATCTGGCCATTTTATAAAATCAGTTTTGAAATCATAGTTATATATGGAAGCCATTTAAAATGTATATTAACATGTAGCCCTCCAGTATCCACTCATTTCCATATTATTTATTCTTCTCAGACCTGCAGTATAGTATGGATGGTTCATCATACTCATCTCTGCCAACAAGCTTCATATCCTACTTGCAAAATTAAAATTTTGTTTTCATAGCTTAAAAAAGATTTTAAAAGGGGATAAAATGTGTGTCTCCTGAGACCTAAGTAAATAACTTGATAGTGCTATAAGAGCCATACTTTACTGATACCCTCCAATCCTCCCATCAAGCACAGATATTACTCCCTCCTAATGTTCAATATTAATTAAACAAATGTTGAATGAATATGAAACCGGACAACAATGGGTCTGAGATGCCTGTCACTACTTGAGCCAATTAAGCAGAGACAGGGTTGAATCATATATAAGCTGATAAGTAGGTTGCTGACAGACACAAGGTTTGCATGGGTTGGATCCATGTAGCCCCCTAGACGTATTTTCCTGAGTTTGAGGCAGCCCTGGCAGTGACAGCAGTGGTAGCACTGCTTCCCGCCTTCTGGGTCACAGCTATGAACGTATGACTCCAGAATAAGCACATATTTGTGCCCTTCCAGCTCTTTGAGCACGTACTTCCCTATAGTAAACTCCTTTATACCATAAATACCTAGAATAATTTATTTTTCCTATACTGAACCTTGTGTGATAAACTACCCCAGAGTTTTTATGTGAGAATTAAATAGAATAATACGTGCAAATTACTTTGAATAGTTCCTGACACTTTGTACTCAGTGTTAGTTATTTAAATTTTTCTTAGGGAGATGAGTTCAAGCTGAAAAGAACAATCTAGACCAAGGGTCAAAGACGATGGGATGCAGGCCAAATTGAGCTGACCACATGTTTTTGTAAAGTATTATCAGAACACAGCCACAGTCATTGGTTTACATGTCATCTATGGCTACTTTCACTTTACAAGGTCATGGTTGCAGCAGAGACAGAATAAACCACAAAACCTACAATATTTATTACCTGGCCCTTAGAGAAAAAAAAACCTCTCATCTGAACTATCAAAAAGAATCAGGAGTATGAGTACTGGGAACCACTCATGAAAACATTCATACTCTTGGCACAGAGCTGTCATCTTTAAGGAAAAATAGGAAAAAATTTTATCTGCAAGGGTTTAAAGTAGAGGATTGAGGAGGGGTGAAGAAAATTTACACTACTATACCATGCAAAATTCAGATTTTATAAGTAAAATCAAAGGGATAAAAGGAAGGCAAAACTGATGTAACCTGAGGCCTCAGCAAGTGATTTGATGGTCCTCTTAGTACACACCCCTGCCATTTCCAAAGTTTTCCTCTGGATAATGCAGCTTAGCTTAGAAAGTGACCATGTGAGAAGCAGCATCCCAAAAGCCTATCCCTCTTTCAGATCCAGCCAGTCACCAATTCTTACAGTTTGTTTCTTCATAAGTCCTCTGGCGTTCACCCACTTTGATCTTAATAGTCACTATTCTAATCTAGGCCTCAGTAATTTAAAACTGTGCTTAACTTATTACAGTTCTAACTTCCTTGTCTTTTTTTTCTCTCCTTTAAAAAGTTGCTTTTTTAATCTTTCTCACTGGCAACTTTGTCAAGAATTTCACAAAAAGAAAGTTTATTTATGCTTAATTTATTCTTTTTAAAAATACTTTATTTCTTTTAGAGCAGTTTTAGATTCACAGCAAAAATTAGAGGAAAGTACAAAGATTTTCTATATCCCCTCTGCCCCCACACATGCACAGCCTCCCCCACCATCAACATTCGCAGCCAGACTTGTACATTTGTTACAGTTGATGAACCTACATAAACACATCCGAATCACCCAAAGTCCATAGTTTACATATGTCCACCATTATAGTTTCACTGCCCTAAAATCCTCTGTGCTCTACCTATTTTTATGTTTGACTTAAAAGTTCTATGTGTTTTCAGTTTTAACGAAGTATCTTAGGCTTTATCTCTCTTTTTTTTTCTCCCTTTCTCCATCTTTCCACCCCCCACACTTCTTTCTTCCCCACTTCCTTCCTGCTGATGGATAAATATGATCCATATAATCTGACAGTGCTTTAAAAACTTGAATGTGCATGAGTCACCTGGGAATCTTGTTCAAATGCAAATTCTGGTTCAGAATAAGTGTCTTGAAATCCTCATTTCTTACAAGCTTCCAGATGCTGCTGCTGAGTTTCAGACAACACTCTCACCAGTGAGACTGGAGACTCGAAAACAGTGGTTCTCAAACTAGAGTGACTGGGGCCTCCCAGGGACATTTGGCAAGGTATGGAGATATTGTTACAACTGGGGCAGCGCTACTGGGTTGAGGCCAGGAATGTTGAACTTCTTTCCACACACAGACAGTCCCTGATAACAATTATGTAGCCCCAAATGTCAAGACTGAGAACCCTGCACTAGAAGAATCTTGAGTATTATAAATACCCAGTGGGTGTCTCCTATGAAGCTAACAGTGACTGTTCCCTAGGAAAAGACTTTTCAGTTTGCTCCCAGTTCCCTTCCCTTTTCATTGCCAGTTTCCTGCGACTGAAGGGGTTTTTATAGCAGAAAGAATTTTCTTTCAAAAGTCTACCAGCCTTCAGGTCATATCCCCTTCCAATTTACGAAATGAAAATTTGAATAGAATTTTTCATGACATTGAAATGATTTTAAAGGTCCCATAATGGTGGAAAATGAATACAAAAATTAAGGCAGCGAGTTTACAGGCTGGAAACACGATCTTATATGACTTCTGTATTATTTGTATTTAGGCTAGTGCAGCAATTTTCAACCGTTTTTATTTCATGGCACACATAAACTAATTACTAAAATTCTGTGGCACACAAAAAAATTTCTTGCCAGTCTGACAAAAAATAGGTATAATTTTTGTTTTATTCACACCAGACAGCTATTGTTGTGTTGGTCGTTTGTCATTTTTTTAATTTGACAATCGAAGGGAAAAGAGGTCAGTGTGGTCCTGGCTGGGTAGCTCAATTGGTTAGAGCATTGTCCTGGTACACCAAGATTGCACGTTTGAATACATAAATAAGTGGAGCAACAAATCAATATTTCCCTCTCTCTCTTTCTTCCCTCCCCCCTTCCTCTCTCTCTAAAATAAAAAATAAAATAAACAAACAAAAAGCGTGGTCAGTAGCCCTGACTAAATAGTCAGGTATTACATGTTTTAAAAATTCTTGCAGCACAGCAGTGTGCCTGTTTCCGCACACCACTTGAAAATTGCTAGGCTGGCGCATTATGGGGTCTTAAAAAATAAGGGAAGCAATTCTCAAAATGACAATCAATAGATGTTTTACTCTGTGTATGTTTCCAGTGACTCTTCAGATTGTATTGGTCAAATAGTCTATAGTATAAAAGGAAATGAACCTTAGAAGGAGCCTTTTTCTGTATTTAGATGAAGAAGATGGGGACTCTCGAGAGTTCTTCACTCTGATTGTAGGAAGCTGTGTTTTCCATGGTTAGAGAGATTGGGGAATTTGATAACTCTCACTTGATTTCACTCTCCAGTGATGTAGCTTGCATAATGGAATTATTGCATATGAAAAATATGATGATTTTACCAGAATCATGATTAAATGAAAGTAAGGGAAACTAAGGCCTGAGTATTTTTATTTAAACTATGGCCACAATTCCAAGTTTTTGTAAGTCTGCCTTTCCTTATTTTCTCAGCCTGTTAGGCATCTTTGACTGACTCATAGCCCAACATTGGACTTCCTGTCAAGTACTACCTGTCCTGCCAGCACTTAGGGCCCAGCCCTGTGATTCATTCTGCTGTGGTTTCTTCTTGAATTTAGAGAAATTCAAAACACAAACTCTTTTCCAGTCTGCTTATAATTTTGAGCATAAGTTAAGGTGGAGGTATCAGAAGGAGTACTGTAGTAGATCTGTCTTCTAAATTCCTTTTGTGTATGAGTTTATTTATATTTTAAACTGACATAAAAGCTCTACAAATAGAACAAAGAATTATTTTCTATACTCTCATCTAGATTCCCTAGGTTAACAGCTTTTTATAGCTAGATTTTTAAAAAACTATTTGAGAGTAACTTGCAGACTTCAAAAAAAACACCAAAAGATATTTTATATGACCATGGTACAATTATCAAAATTAGGAAATTAATATTGCTACAAGGTTATTGTGTAATCTACGGATTTAAATTTTACCAGTTGTCCCATTAATGTATTTTTTTCTTTTAAATTTTATTTTAAAATTCTATTTATTGGGGGTAACATTGGTTAATAACATTATATAAATTTCAGGTGTACTGATTTATAATACAACATCTGTATACTCCATTGTGTGCTTACCACCCAAAGTTTCATCTCCTTCTGCCCCATTTCTGATTTGGATTTTTTTTTCCCCTTGCCTATTTGGTCTGGCTGCAGCTTCCAGCCCTATGCTGAATAGAATTGGTGGCCTTGTAATATATAGCCTTATTGTATTGAAGTACTTTCCTTCTATACCAAATTTGTTGAGAGTTTTTATTATGAAAGGATGTTGAATTTTATCAATTGCTTTTTCTTCATCTATTGAAATGATTATATGATTTTTATTCTTCATGCTCTTAATATGCTGTATCACATTTATTGATTTGTGTATGTTGAATCATGTTTGTATCAATTGGGATAAATCCCAATTGATCATGGTGTATGAGCCTTTAGTGTGCTGCTGAATTCAGTTTGCTAGTATTTTGTTGAAGATTTTTGCATGTATATTCATCAGGAATATTGGCCTGTAATTATATTTTCTTGTAGTGTCTTTGACTGGCTTTGGTATCAGGAAAATAATGGCCTCATAAAATAAGGTTGGAAATATTCCCTCCTCTTCAATCTTTTGGAAGAGTTTGAGAAGGATTGGCATTAATTTTTTTTTAATATCTGTAAAATTTGCCAATGAAGCCATCAAGTACTGGCTTTTGTTGTTTGGGGATTTTTCATTACTGATTCATCTCCTTACTCATTGGTCTATTTATGTTTTTGATATTTTCATCAGTCTCCGTAGGTTGTATGTTTCTTTTTCTTTTTCTTTTTTTATTTAGAGAGAGGGGGGAAAAAAACTTTGATTTGTTGTTCCACTTATTTATGCACTCATTGGTTGCTTCTTGTATGTGCCCTGACTGGGAATCCTAACTGTAGCTTTGGCATATTGGGTTGATGCTCTAATCAACTGAGCTACCCGGCCAGGGCTAGGTTGTATGTTTCTAAGATTTATCTACTTCTTGTAGATTATCTAATTTGTTGGCATATAATTGTGTTTAGTAGTCTCTTATGATCCTTTGTATTTCCGTGGTATCAGTTGTAATGTCTGCTCCTTCATTTATAATTTATTTGAATCTTCTTTTCCTTTTCTTAGTCTAGCTAAAGGTTTGTCAATTTTGTTTCTCTTTTCAGAAAACCAACCTCTAGTTTTATTTTTCTATTGTTTTTCTAGTCTCTGTTTCATTTATTTCTGCTTTGATCTTTATTATTTCCTTCCTTCTGCTAATGTTGGGCTTAGTTTTTTCTTTTGTTTTGTAGTTCCTTGAGGTAAATTAGGTTATTTATTTGAGATTTTCCTTTTTTCAAAATGTAGGCATTTATTGCTATAAACTTCCCTCTTAGTCCTTCTTTTGCTACATCTTATAAGTTTGGAATGTTTTGTTTCCTTTTTTGTTTATCTTGAGACACTTTTGATTTATGACCCATTGGTTGTTCAGGACTGTGTTTAATTTCCACATATTTGTGAATTTCTAATGTTCCTTCTGTTATTTGTTTCTAGTTTTATACCATTGTGATCAGAAAAGATACTTGGTATAGTTTCAGTTTTTTAAAATTTGTTAAGATTAAGACTTGAATCATAGCCTAACATATGTTCTCTCCTGGAGAATGTTTCCATGTGCACTTGAAAAGAATGTATCGTCTTCAGCTGTTTGATGGAATATTATGTATATGTCAGTTGGGTCCATTTGGTCCATAGTGTTGTTCAAGGTAACTGTTTCGTCATTAATTTTCTGTCTGGATGATCTATCCGTTGATGAAAATGGGATATTAAGGTCTTCTACTATTATTGTATTGCTGCCTATTTCTCCCTTCAGTTCTGTTAATATTTACTTTATATATTTAGGTGGTCCAATGTTGGGTGCATCCTCTTGATAAATTGACTTCTTTTTTAATTATAAAATGACCTTCTCTGTCTCTTGTGACAGTTTTTGATTTAAAATCTATTTTATTTTATATAAATAGAGCCACCCATTGTCTTTTGTTTACCTTTTGCATGGAATATCTTTTTCTATCCTTTTACTTTCAGTCTATGTGTGTCCTTTAAGTTAAAGTGAGTCGCTTGTAGCCAGCATGTAGTTGTTGTTTTTATCCATTCAGCCACTCTAGGTCTTTTGATTGGATAATTTAACCCATTTACTTGTAAAGTAATTCTTGGTAGGTAAAGATTTACTATTGTCATTTTGTTAATTGTTTTCTGTTTTCCTTTGTTCCTTTTTACCTCTCTTGTCTTCCTTTGTGATTTGATTTGATTTGATTTTTTTGCAGTGGTATGCTTTGGGAATCATGCAGTTCTGAGTACAGTGATACCTGGGTTTTCGAATGTAATCTGTTCCGGAAGACCGTTGAAACGTTCGAAAACTGAGGACTCAATAGCCAACAGCTAGGCCTCAGGATATTGCACTCAGAGGAAGCCAGTTCGACTTCCGAGGCCTGTTCAAAAACTGAAGCATTTACTTCCAGGTTTACAGTGTTCATAAACCTAAATGTTCATCAACGGAGACTTTAGAAAACCAAGGTACCACTGTACAACATTTCTTTCTCTTACTAGATTCTAGCTATCAAAGGCACCTTTCACGTTGGGGTGCCCTTTAGGGTAGCACTGTATAACATGGAGATAGCTGCCTGTAGTAGTTTGCTAGGGCTGCCATAACAAAATACCACAGCCTGGGTGATTTAAATATAAATTTATTTTCTTATAATTCAAGCGACTAGAAGCCTGAAATCAAGGTGTTAGCAGGACTGCTTTCTTCTGAGGGCTTTCTGACTTGTAGATGGCCACCTTCCTTCAGTGTCTTCACATGGCCTTTCCTCTGTGTGTGCCTATGTCCTAATCTCCTCTTCTTAAAAGATCAGTCATATTGGTTAAGGTCACCCATATGACTTCATTTTACTTTAATTACCTCTTTAAAGGCCCTTCTTCAAATGTATAGTCACATTCTGAGGTACTGAGGGCTAGAACTGCAACATATGAATCGGCAGGGAACACAATTCAGCCTATAACATTGCTCTTTCAGTTCCACTGCCTTGGTACAAAAAGTTTTTAGTTATTTATTCTACCAAATCTACAGAATTTAAAGGAAGGTATCAAATATCTTAAAGTACCTTAATAGATGTTACAATACCTATTTAAATTTGTTTAATTTTTTAAAGGAAGTCATTTGCAGAATTCTCAATGATTAGAAAATTATGTATGAGAAACATTCAGTTTTTTAAAAATATCTTTATTGATTTCAGAGAGAGGAAGGGAGAAGGAGAGAGAGAGACAGAAATATCAATGATGAGAGAGTCATTGATCAGCTGCCTCCTGTACGACACGGACTGGGTATTGATCCCGCAGCCTGGGCATGTGCCCTGACCGGAATCGAACTGCGATCTCCTGGATCCTAGGTCAATTCTCAACCGCTGAGTCACGCCTGGCCGGGCGAAACACTCATTTTTAAAGTAATGATGACTCCAAGAAAAATATCTTTTCTCTTTTTATATACTTGAAGGTAACTTGACTATAAAGAGCTTTTATAGTCTGAACTATAAAAAAAACAATTTTAGGAAAAATTCTAAACTAAAACCCAGTA